AAGAATCGAATTCCAAATACCTGGTGCTCGTGAGAAATGAAACTGGCTCCTTTCTGAATAACTGATTCAACTGGAAATATTTGATGAACTGAATTGGATGTTTCAAGTCAAGTCAGATTGGGCTCCGTTCAACATTTTGAACCAAACTGTCAGTTTGATTTGGAAAGACAAATTGCTTTCAGAATGAATCTCCAAACCGAAGCTTTGTACAGCTCAGATGTCTACGTCATTTCAGGAATTATATTGAGAAAAGGAGATGCAGTCAGAGTTTTACTGGAGCTTTACATTCAGTACAGAGAAGAGCAAATTTAAGGCGGCTGAGCAAATTTGAAAAGCAGAATATGGGTTCACAGATTGCCCTAACGATACTGTTATTTGAATTTTTTGGCTCAGCATGTTCTGTAAACCCAGATACTGTGATTGGTAAACTATGGTTGACAGCATAATCTGTGAATCTTGCCAAACTGTTGTGGGTTAATTATGAAATCATGGTTAAAATAAGCCATGGCTTACAACAAAGTATAAATCAAACGTGTAGAATTTATCACAAATAGCTTGTTGGCAAGCTGATGAAATGTGGCTTAGATGCTGCTGCTGGTTGGTGGACTAGGCTCAACTTGGAGAGTAAGGTTAACAAGTCTGTCTTAGGCCCAGGCAATCCCCACAGTCATGCAGGTCAAGAAAAAAAAAACACCGCCAAGGGGTCTCCCCACCTGCAGGCCCCATGTCCAGGGGATCGTCCAGGTCTTCAAGGACCTAAGAAACACCTGCAGGGTCAGGGCCAAACAAATCTCAGGGTGCTATGGTGTTCCCAAAGTTGGGGCTGTGACAGAGAAGACCTGCTTCTTTGGTCCCACCAGATGGTTTTGCTTAATAGATGGGACCCAGAGTGTGCTCACCTTGCCAGATCTAGTGAGCCAGCAGAATCAATTGGAGACAGGCAGACCTGTAAATCAGGGTTCCTCAACCCTGGCAACTTTAAGATGGGTGGACTTCAGCTCGCAGAATTCCCCAGCCAGCCTTGAAGTCCACCCGTCTTAAAGTTGCCAAGGTTGAGGAACCCTGCTTTAAATAACCTGACCCCATGCCATGAAAGGCCTTAGAGGTGGTAACCAGCACCCTGAATTGCACCCAGAAACCTACTGGGAGCCAGGGCAGCTCATGGAAGCAGTAGTATGAGATGGATATAGTGAGAGGTACCCATAACTACATACACTGCTGCATTCTGGACCAGTTGCAGCTTCTGAGTGGTCTTCAAGGGCAGCCCCACGTACAGCGCATTGCAGTAGTCCATTCAAGAAATGACCAAGGCACGAGTGACCATAATAATGCCTCCCAATCCAGGAAAGGATGAAATTGATGCCTAAGGCAAATCTGCACAAAAGCCTCCCTGGGCAAGGCTGCCACCTCTTCTTCAAACAGGAGCCATGAATCCAAGAGGACCCCAACTGTGCCCCAGTTCTGTCTGGGGATATGGAATTGCATCCAGAGCTAAAGAGGGTCAATCCCTAAAACCAGGGAGCCAAGAACCCACAGCCATTCTACCCTGGCTGGGGAAATCCCAGCATTAAGTCTTACTAAAACGAAATAAATCTCGGGTGAGTATTGCACTGGGTTAGCTACTAGGTGAGATGGCACTCTATGAGCAGATACAACATCTAACCATGGGCTTCTGGGTGGCATCCTGCTGGGAAACCCAATGCTGAACCAAATGGTGCTGTGTTCTGATTCAGCCACAGCCCTTTTTATATCTGTTGTCCTGGGCACGTGTGACAATCCAAGATGCATTCAAGATAACCATTGTTTGGGAACCAAAGTGGGCTACCTGCTCCAGCATGAGACTTCTCTGAGAGTCAGGCTTACTCCTGTCTCTATTAACCAGGACCGTCCTATCCTTTCTGGAAACAGTCGAATGCACCCAAGTCCTCTTGATGCTCGGCAATGCTCTTAGAGCCTCTGACCCACCTGTTGACGGATGAGGACGAAACCTGCATCACCCTTCATAGCATTAAGCCTAGAAAGGAGCAAAGAAGCCTCCTCCCTCCTCCGCAGGAAAATACTGGCTGGGTTCACACAATCGGCTGGCGGGGCCCAGGAGGAGAGCCTTCTCTGCCATTGCCCCCGTCCTCTGGAATATCTCCCCCAGAGGTAGGGTGGGCCCCTACCCTCCCAGCTTTCTGGAAAGAACTAAAGACCTGGCTCTGCCAGCTTGCGTGGAGCACGAAGAGTTTTAACCAGCCCTGATGACGCTCCCTGAGCCTAGTTACCATCCATCCTTGGAATATACTTATTATTTATTTTTAAAACAGTCGTTTTAATTAATATTTTAATTAATACATTTTAATTAATATTTATCTTTTCTGTAAACCACCCAGAGTTGTTTTTTAATGAGATGGGCGGTGACAAATTTGAGATACAGATATATAGATAAAATGTGCTCAACCCTGGGTTAAAGGTGATACTGGCTGGATTCACATAACCATAGCTTAACATGATGGCCTGGTTCACAAAACATGCTCAGATAATGGCTGTGTTATGTTTGTAATTGGCTTATCACGTAGCAAGTAGCAGCCTCTGACATTCACAATATACATTCCCTTGAGTGAGACATGGTCACACACTGACTCACATCCCAGCAGCATCCCCTGGGAGAGTCTGCCGCGCTAATTTCTTCCTGGAGGTTCTGGGAAAGAACAGTTCATCTGTAGCAGACCAGCATTATCTTGCGGTCTGTCCAACGGTGACACTTTCCTTTGCATTTTTTCCAAAGAAAATATTTGTAAGAGGCTGGCCATGATCTGGGCACCTCTGGGATTGTCTTCTTCAACTTTGAATACTTGCATTTTAACCTTGAGAGATCGACAGCCCTTTTCCCGAGCTATTTCCTGTCAGTTGGGACGTTGTTTGCACACTCATTCAACAGCATTCCTTCCTGTTGCATCTCACTCCCCTTGTACGCCCCATCTCAGCCCATTTCAATATTCCTATGTTTATTATGATGGTTTTCCGCACAGTCAGCCAGATGTTTAGACTGGGTTTGGCATTTTTATTCACCTATCGAGTCCTTCTCAAGGACCCGGGGTAGGCAGATGTTGTTTGATGGTGTTAAGAGTGTTATTATTATTATTTTAAAAACCATCGGTATTTCCAGGTCAAAACAAGCCACAGGTTTGGTCTGCCTCACAATCCAAGCCGAACTGGCCACACAGGGCCCTTGCATGATTAGGGTTATCCGATTATCAGATCGGCAAAGGGGGACACGGACAATTGGAAAGGAGGACAAACGGGGAGAAAGGAGGGCAGACAAACTGTTCCACTTTCTTGGTATCGGCGACAAAAATTACAGTGAAAAACTGCAAAAAAAAAAGTACACCTATATGTAGATGAAATTACCTTTTCCAGCCTCAGAAAGACTGGTTTTTCAATCGCAGTATTTTCCCAGCAAATCTTTATTTTCAAAAAGGTAGCCTTGCGATAATTTAGAATCGCTGACAACGCGCTTTTCAAATTTCACCCTGGAAATGTATGACGAGTCGCGGGATCTCCAGACTCCGGGTGATTGTAGATTCGAAGGGTCTGGATTGAAGCCAGTGGCTGAAATCTGGAAATCAATTAAATAATGTGAATCCAGGCTGTTGAATCTGTTGATGGACGAGGGAAAGAAAGGAGGAGACCATTTACAAGGTTACAATACACGAAAGTTTCAATGACTACTGTTGTGAAAACAGTCTGAGATTTAAAAAAACCCAAAATACTCAAAAAGCCAGACGATATTTGATTTTCAGGCTATGCCTGCTGGACGGAGGACATGAGGACAAAAAGGAGGATGTGTCCTCCTTTTGCCGGATGTCTGGTAACCCTAGGTTTGTTGTCTTTACTTAGCCATCCTGGTTTATAAATCACAGTTTGTAGCTTAGGACCTTGTCTGATAGCAGCCAGTTGCTTCCACCATCCAGGGCACATCAGGGAACTTCCCAAATGTGTTGCAGTTCGCCATTTGGGGACTCCAAAGGTTAAATGAGACTCTTCGAGGGTCTGATCCAGCCTTCTGATGGCCTCGGATCCGTATCTCTGGGCATTGGATCCGGAAGGAAGAAAAAAGCAAATTCAGGCACACCTGATGTCTCGTAACCTTAGGCATGACAATGTCATCCACAAACAGCTGCAGTTTGTCCATACGGCAAGGTTTGGGTTGGGAAAAAAAGGGAAAACACCATTTTAACAGCATAACAATGAAAGACAGCTTCACAGCAAGCCGGGATGAAAGGAAGACCACGATGTGAGGATGCGTCCCATAAAAACAGCCATATTCTCTTTCTTAAAGACTTGAACTGTGTTAACCACGCACATCCAGCTTACAAGTTTCACAGGAACAAGCGGGTTTGGATGGGAAAATGGACATGTATTCCATAATATCACAAGCATCTCACGATGCATACAAATTTGAAAATAAATAAAATAAAATAAAATAAAATAAATATATTAGTTTACTGCTATTTCAGGTGTGATGTTTATCTCTCTGTATTTCCTCACCTGCCCCTGAATCTTCTATCTATATCATCGATTTCTTAATTTTTTTCCAATAAAATACGACAATAAAATAAAATAAATTAATGGCAAGGCACTCTTGCGTCTCATGGGTATCTTAGATCAGGGTTTCTCAGTCTTGGCAACTTCCAGCTGGGTGTTCTTCAACTCCCAGAATTCCCCAGCCAGCATTCTGGGGCCTTTCCCTGACCTTCATGAGGACTAGGGTCGTGGGATGCCTGTGAGGCAGAGCGCTTGACGAGACCGGCCCCCTCAGGGACCGGCGAGGGTGGAACGCCGGCGGTCGCTATAGCAACGCCCAGATTCTG